AGTTTTTGTGTGTTTAAGATAAATGAAGGATGATCGTGTGATCTGTCCTGCAGTCTGTCTGACAATAAGCTCTGGGTAGTTTGATTGTTAGCGATCAAAGGGAGACTCAGATTATTATACTGCTTGAAATGTATGAAGTATTTACTCTTGGAAAGCGTAACAATTGTCTCTGAAAATAAGATTAGTGGACTCGGAGTCTCTCAGTTACAGGTACTGAGTTGTAAAACATGGTGCTATAAGGCTGAATTTTTTTTTTGGGAAACTGTCAGTTTTGTTGAGTTTCATAGAGGGTTTCTTTCCTTGAGGCCTTGTAAGATCTCTCACCATATCTTACCGAACTCACCTCAATAACTATCTACCTTGTCCCTGTGGTAGCCCTCTCACCCAGTACCTGCCCCATCTTATCTCTTGCTGCTCCAGAATTACTTGCCACCACCAGTATATCTCACGAAAGGCTGGAATCATTGGCACCCAGGCCATCTTAAAAGTCCACAGTACACCTGGACACATGTCAGTAATTTGGCATTGTCCATCACTGACAAAGTAATAGCATGTAATAGCAGCCACAAAACCACATCCTCATGACACATTGCCAACTTGGCTGACTCTTCCTTGCACACACAACCCCATTCTCTCACACTAGTTGCTATTTAACCAGAAGGCCACACAGTTTCCCTGTTGTTAACCACATCCCATCCGACCAGCCTCTCTAGATCACCGCTCCTTAACGCCCACTTATAGAGCCGCATCCTGTTATTGTTCCATAGGGGAACATCATATACAGGCTAACAATCAGATAATTTGAAACATGAACTTATATTTACAGCCCACAAAAGTGAACACACACAAAACAATTAAAGGCTGCAGTTCGCTCCCACAATACAACCAATATCTTTGCAGGAAAATTTGCTCATTCCATTAACAGAGACTTTATACCGATAGAGAGAGGGATTCGAGGAATTCTAAGTGGCAGTGTAAACTGAAGGATTGATGGGGAAGGTTCTGAATGTGGGGACAGCACATCAATTAGAAAGGAAAGACAAGAAAGAGCCAGAGTATGTAGTAACTCTGAAGAACTAACTTGCATTTATTTAAATGCAAGGGGTCTTACAGGAAAGGCTGATTAACTCGGGGCATGTTTAAGAACACGGGATTGGGACATCATAGCTATTACGGAAACTTGGCTGAGAGATGGACAGGACTGGCAGCTCAATGTTCCAGGTTTTAGATGCTGTAGGAGGCATAGAAAAGGAGGCAAGAAAGGAAATGGCATTACATTTTTGATTAAGGAATACATGCTGCTGTAACTAGGGAAATTATTTCTGAAAAATCATCGAGTGAAAATATGTGGGTAGAAATTACAAATAAGAAGGGAAAGATCACTTTGATGGGATTATACTATAGGCTCTCCATTAGTAAGAGAGAAATTGAGAAACAAGTATGTAGGGAGATTTCAGATATATGTAAAATAATAAGTTTATAAAAATGGAGGATTTTAGTTTTCCAAACATTGACTGAAGCTACCATAGTGTTAAAGGTATGGATGGTGAAGAATTTGTCCAATCTGTTCAAGAAAATTTTCTTTATCAATACATGGAGCAAAACTAGACCTTCATTTGGGCAATAAGGCAGGGCGGGTGACTGAAGTAAAAGTCGGGGAACACTTTGGGTCTAGCAATCATAATTCTATTAGTTTCAAAATGGTTATGGAAAAGTATCAGCCTTCCATAAAAGATTAAATTTTTAATTGGATTAAAGCAAATTTTAATGGTATGGGACAAGAACTTTCAAAAGTTGATTGGAGTAAGCTGTTCGCGGGTAGAAGGATGTCTGACAAGTGGGAGGCGTTCAAGAGTGTGATGATGAGAGTTCAGAGGCATTTTGTTCCTGTTAGAGTGAAGGGTAAGGCTGGTAAGATTAAGGAACAATGGATGAATAAAGATCTAGAGGTTTTAGTCAAGAATAGAAGGGAATCTTATTTTAGATGTAGACAACTTGGTTCAATTGAATCTCTTAATCAATATAAAGAGTGTAGGGGGATTCTTGAGAAAGAAATCAGGAAGGCAAAGAGGGGATATGAGATTGCATTGGCAGATAAGGCTAAGAGATTCTACAAATACATTGAGAGCAAGAGGGTAACTAGAGAGAGGATAAGGCCTCTTAAAGATCAAGGAGGTTGTGTTTGTGTTAAACCCCAGGGGATGGGAGAGATACTAAATGAATATTTTATGTCAGTTTTTACTGTGGAGAAAGAAGAGAAATGAACTTTGATGTTTTAAAAACAGTTCACATTACAGAAGAGGAAGTTCAGGAGGTCTCAGAGAATATAAAGGTGGATAAGTCTCCGGGACCTGATCTAATGTATCCCAGAATGTTGTGGGAAGTAAGGGAGGAAATTTTTAGACCCCTTGCAGAAATATTTGCATCATCTATAATTACAGGTGAGATGCCTGATGACTGGAGTGTGGCTAATGTTGTACCTTTATTTAAGAAAGATTGTAAGTAGAAACCGGGGAACTACAGATTTGTGAGTTTGACTTCAGTTGTGGGTAAATTGTTGGAGGTGATTATAAAAGATAGGATTTATGCACAGTTAGAGAGGCAAAAATTGATTAAGGATAGTCAACATGGTTTTGTGCAAGGAAAATCATGTCTCACAAACTTGATTAAGCTTTTTGAGGAAGATATTAAAAAGGTTGATGATGGCAGTGCAATAGATATTATTTATTTGGGTTTTAGCAAAGCCTTTGACAAGGTTCCATATTGTAGACTAATTAGTAAAGTTAGATCACATTGGATTCAGGGTGAGTGTGTCAATTGGATACATAATTGGCTTAATGGCAGATGACAGAGAGTAATGGTGGAGAGTTGCTTTTTGGACTGGGGTCTGTGATAGCGGTGCTCCACAGGGATCGGTTCTGGGTCCTCTTTTGTTTGTCATTTATATAAATGATTTGGATGCGAATTCAGAATGCACGGCTAGTAAGATTGTGGACGACACCAAAATTGGTGGCACAGTAGACAGTGAAGAAGGTTTTCTAAGATTACAGAGGGATCTTGATCAAATGGTTCAATGGACTGAAAAAAGGCAGATGGAGTTCAATCTGGATAAATGTGAGGTATTGCATTTTGGTATAACAAACAAGGGTAAGACTTATACAATTAATGGTAGGGCCTTGGGTAGTGTTGTAGATCAGAGGGACCTAGAGATGCAGGTACATAATTCATTGAAGTTTGCATCACATATAGACAGGATGGTTAAAAAGGCATTTGGCACGCTTGCCTCCATTTCTCAGTCCTTTGAGTATAGGAGTTGGGAAGTCATGTTGAGGCAATACAGAACATTGGTGAGGCCTCTTCTGGAATACTGTGTCCACTTCTGGTTGTCTGGTTATAGGAAGGATATTATCAAGCTGGAGAAGATTCAGAAGAGATTTATCAGGATGTTGCCCCGTATGGAGGATTTAAGTTATAAAGAAAGGCTGGATACGTGGAACAATCCCTCTTCCGTACCTACACCGGCCCTAAACCCCACCTCTTCCTCCGTTACATTGATGACTGTATCGGCGCCGCCTCGTGCTCCCACGAGGAGCTCGAACAGTTCATACACTTCACTAACACCTTCCACCCCAACCTTAAGTTTACCTGGACCATCTCTAACACCTCTCTCCCCTTCCTGGACCTCTCTGTCTCCATATCGGGCAACCACCTAGAAACCGATATTCATTTCAAGCCCACCGACTCGCACAGCTGCCTAGAATACTCCTCCTCCCACCCACCTTCCTGCAAAAATGCTATCCCCTATTCCCAATTCCTTCGCCTCCGCCGCATCTGCTCCCAGGATGAGGCATTCCACTCCCGTACATCTCAGTTGTCCTCGTTTTTCAAGGACCGTAACTTCCCCTCCTCGGTGGTCGAGAACGCCCTCAACCGTGTCTCCCACATCTCCCACATCTCCCACACCTCATCCCTCACACCCCGTCCACGCAATAAGAACCAAAAAAGAATCCCCCTCGTCCTCCCGTACCACCCCACCAACCTCCGGATCCAATGCATCATCCTCCGACACTTCCGCCATCTGCAATCCGACCCCACCACCAAAGACATCTTTCCCTCCCCACCCTTATCTGCTTTCCGGAGGGACAACTCTCTCCGTGACTCCCTTGTCCGCTCCACACTCCCCTCCAGCTCCACCACACCCGGCACTTTTCCCTGCAACCGCAGGAAGTGCTACACCTGCCCCCATACCTCCTCCCTCACCCCCATCCCAGGCCCCAAGAAGACTTTCCACATCAAGCAGATGTTCACCTGCACATCTGCCAATGTGGTATACTGCATCCGCTGTACCCGGTGTGGCTTCCTCTACATCGGGGAAACCAAGCGGAGACTCGGGGACCGCTTTGCAGAACACCTACGCTCGGTTCGCAACAAACAACTGCACCTCCCAGTCGCGAACCATTTCAACTCCCCCTCCCATTCCTCAGACGACATGTCCATCCTGGGCCTCCTGCAGTGCCACAACGTTGCCACCCGAAGGTTGCAGGAACAGCAACTCATATTCCGCTTGGGAACCCTGCAGCCCAATGGTATCAATGTGGATTTCACAAGTTTCAAAATCTCCCCTCCCCCTACCGCATCCCAAAACCAGTCCAGCTCGTCCCTGCCTCCCTAACCTGTTCTTCCTCCCACCTATCCCCTCCTCCCACCTCAAGCCGCACCTCCATCTCCTACCGACCAACCTCATCCCGCCCCCTTGACCTGTCCGTCCTCCCTGGACTGACCTATCCCCTTCCTAACTCCCTACCTACACTCACCTTCCCTGGCTCCATCCCCGCCTCTTCGACCTGTTTGTTTCCTCTCCACCTATCCTCTCCTCTATCCCTCTTCTATCCGCCTCCCACTCTCTCCCTATTTATTTCAAAACCCCCTTCCCCTCCCCCTTTTCTGATGAAGGGTCTAGGCCCGAAACGTCAGCCTCTCTGCTCCTATGATGCTGCTTGGCCTGCTGTGTTCATCCAGCCCTGCACCTTGTTGTCTCGGATTCTCCAGCATCTGCAGTTCCTACTATCTCTGATTCCATTAGTGTAAATGTTTTGATTCAACCACCGAAATGGAAATATAGAAACATAGAAAGTATGAGCAGAAGTAGGCCATTCAGCCCTTTGAGTCTGCTCTGTCATTCATTGTGGTCATGGCTGATCATCCAACTCAATACCCCAAATAGCCAAATTGTTTCCTTTTATTGGTGTTATCCAGAAGAAAAGAGACACTCACTGGACTTCTTTAAGAAATGCTTTCTTATTAAAAATGTATTCTCCAAACAAATGGCAAAACTGGTCAACAACTCAATTGCTATTCAAAGATTAAGCTATGTCCCCCAAATCCCAAACAAACACATTCACATAACAAAACAAGACAATACAGCTCTGAAAAAATAATTTTTTTAGACAAAAAGTGAATGAAAATCCTTCTGTGGGCCAAGGGTCTGGACTCAAATTATAAAAATGGGATGATTTCTCATGATTCCGCAGGTTTCCTGTTGGTGAGATCGAAATGTTGTCCACTGTTGACTGGAAAATTTTCAGACCAGACTTCAGTTCAAATAGAAAATCAGCTAGACATACATCTTTGAATAGAAGTAACAGTTGAGCATTCAGGGTTTGTGAGATAGTTAGAAATACTGATAGATGAAACTTCCTTGGGTTCCGAGAAATATTTCACTGCATGACAGATCTATGCAGTTTGTCCTGCTGAATTTTTCAGGAGTGAGAATCTTGCCTGTGTACACACTGGAGGTCATTTTTGTTCTATTATTGCACCTTGAATTCCAGAACAATGTTGCTAGGCGATCTTCAACACAGAGGCCTTATCTCTTTCAAAAGATTTGCTTGTTTCTTTTTGAAAGTTTCTTGACTTTTCAGAAATCAGCAAATGAGTCTCAGCCCATAGTCCAACTGTTGAACCATTCCAATAAATCACACATCCCTCCAAAACCTAGGTAAACCCTTTTAAATCTTGAATGTCCAAACAGCTCAATTTTCTAGTTTCTCATGGTCTTTAAATATGTATTCCCACCAACTTGTTGCCAATTCCAATTTTTTCTTTTTACTTCCAGGAAAATTACTCTCACATCTCTCAAGAAATATAGAAATCTTCAAGAGACTATATTAAGCAGACCAATGGTCTTTTTTACTAGTATTAAGCCCCCTGAAGTTTCTAAAAAAGGTATGTTTGTCACAGCTGTATTTTTCCTTGATATTTTCTGTGTTTATTTTTGCCTTGTTGTATACTACAATTGATATTTTCTCTGATATTAGGGCTTTTAGAGAGAAGAGAAAAGCATAAAGCCACAACATTACAAATGTATTAATTACAAGTGAGCATTACATAGATATTGCACCCCAGCTAATTTCTGCACTGAGATGCTGCATTGTGAATGAGTGTGATCAGATTCAGACTCAGTTTGAGTGCACCTCTATCACTAAGAGCGGAATTACCAATTTTCCAAGTGAGGAATATAGGTTTATATTTGATGATCGTCATATATAAATGATCGTCATTTTTGTCATTGATATAAACGATTTGAATGTGAATATAGGATGCATGGTTAGTAAGCTTGCAGATGACATCAAAATAGGTGGTGTAGTGGACAGTGAAGAAGATTATCTCAGACTACAACTAAACCTTGATCAGATGGGCCAGTGGGCTGAAGAGTGGCAGATGGAGTTTAATGTAGGCAAATGTGAGGTGTTGCATTTTGGCAAAGCAAACCAGGGCAGGGTGTATATAGTTAATTAGAATTAGAGATAACACAGTATGGAGCTGGAGGAGCACAGCAGGCCAGGCAGCATCAGAGGAGCAGGAAAGTTGACGTTTCAGAAATTTCTGAAGAAGGCTCCCGACCCGAAACGTCAACTTTCCTGCGCCTCTGATGCTGCCTGGCCTACTGTGTTCCTCCAGCAGCACACTGTGTTATCTCTGATGCCAGCATTGGCCCTTCTTACAATCTCTAATTAGAATTAGAATTAGCTTTATTGTCACATCTCTACAAATGAGTACAGTGAAAAGTTTACATTTCACCACTTATGGTGCCATCTTACGTACAAAGGTACCTAGGTACAGATTCTTAAGTACAAATTCTTAGGGGAAAAAGATTAGAAAAATAAAGAATTAAAAAATCAAGCAAGACAGATCATCAGAATAAATTAGAAAATATAGAAATAAATAGCTCAGAATTATAATCCTTACAACCCATGCTGGCACCTTGCCTATAGCCCACGCCAGGCCTTGGCTTCAGACTGTGCCAGGCTTCACCTTGAGGCTCTCAAGGCTCCCGGACTGCGAATCATTGTGAGGCTGGAAGTCTATGCTGAGGCCACACCAGGCTGCCAATATACCACCAGGCCAGGCCGCCAAGAGACCGTCATGCCAGGCCGAGATGACACCATGCCGAGCTGAGAGATTGCAACACCAGGTCCATACAGAGGCCGAGAGTCCAAGTCTAAACTGAGGCCAGGAATTCAGGACATCAGTAGTGGGGAGCGCTGCTAAACAAAGAGACCAAAGGGGTGGAGGTGCATAGTTACTTGACAGTGGAGTCACAGGCAGACAGGGTTGGTGAAGAAGGCATTTTGGCACACTTGCCTACATTGGTCAGAACATTGTGTATAGGAATTGGAACATCATGTTGCGGCTGTACAGAACATTGGTGAGGCCACTTCTAGAATACTGCGTATAATACTAGTAACCCTTCTATAGGAAAGATGTTGTTAAACCTGAGAGGGTGCAGAAAAGATTTACAAGCATGTTGCTGGGACTGGAGATTTTGAGTTATAGGGAGAGGCTATATAGGCTGGGACTTTTTTCCCTGAAGTGTCAGAGGCTGAGGGGTTACCTAATAGATGCTTAACAAGGTATTTTTCCTGGGGTGGAGGAGCCCAAAACTAGAGGGCATAGGTTTAAGATGAGAGGGGAAAGATTTAAAAGGAACCTGAGGGACAACTTTTTCACGCAGAGGGTGGTGCATTTATGGAACGAGCTGCCAGAGAGACTGGTACAATTATAACATTTAAACGGCATCTGAATGGGAATATGAAATGGAAACATTTAGCGGGTTACGAACCAAATGCTGGCAAATGGTACTAGCTCCGATTGGGATAGCTGGTTGCCCATGATGAATTGGACTAAAGGGTCTGTTCCTGTGCTCTATGACCCTGTGAATAGTATGTCAGTATTCTGATACCTCTAAACATGGCGCAATTATTAAAGCATAGGTGGAGTGTGGGTCTTCAAGAAATTGACATGCCTGAAATTAATTGTGTGTTAATTGTTGAGCTTGTTAATCATGTAGAGAGTAACAGAATTAAAGCTTCAAAGGTAAGAATGGCAAAAACAAATGGAGTGATGAGACGTTGTGTGTGCCTGTTGTGAGTTCAGCGAGGAGCCACTATTGATTGTTGTTGCTGATTTGAAGTCTCGGAAATAAAGGACTAGTCAAATTGAGGTATTTATGCGTGGCATAAATTTGCTGTTGCTTGAGCAGAACAGATGAAGTGCCTGATGAGTAAGTGTTTGGACTATGAGGCTGTTGGCCCTCTGCTGTCCAGCTTACTCCATTTATCCAGGCAATGGCAAGCCCTTTCATGCTGTCAGCTGGCATACTCTGGGGCAAATTCCCACCTGCTGGCAGTATCTGGTACCATTAATTGAGTGCCAAGTTCACCTCCATCAAATTAGGAGTTTTTATAAATCAAAATTCGATTGAATATCATGTATGAGCAGCCTAAAGACTCTACTTTCAATCCTGAAAAGTGTCTAGTCTACCTCTGATCACCTGCAAAAGATATGATTTCTGTGCAATAGGTCAAGTTATCTGTTTCATGCTGCTACTATGCGATAGCAACATGAAAGCCACTAACTGGATGCTGTTGTCAAGCCAAAGGGACCTTCAGCCAAATTAATGAATAAATAATGTGATATATGAATTTCCATCCAGGTGTAATGCCAGGTATATTTGCTATACATCCCGAAGTATAACAGATTGTTCCTAATAGGCAAAGTATCGACCATGCCTAAGCAACCTGCGCTTGTAAAACACTAAACACAGTGTCTAACATTAGATGTCAGTCTGTGATTAGAAAATATTGGCTAAGTAATCAAGAGTGTGCTAAGAATTACACTAACAACTAATTTAAGATTGTCAGTCAGGCTCACAGAGGACGTAATAGAAGCTACATAGATTAATAGACAGTGCCCTGTACTTTGCAGACACTGCGCCTGTTTAAACTCAACACAATAGACAACAGCTGTTCCATGGTTCACTGCTCAGTGGCAATGACTTTACCAATCAGAGAGGATCTGCTTGATACAAAGTTTTAAAAATTTTGTTAGTTAACTGTCAGTCATCATCTAACTGGTACATTCTCCATGGAAATGGCTCTACCAATCAGAAACCACTTGACAACTGATTAACACACTCTTCTTATCTAGTATAAAATGTTGTTTCCACTTACATTAGTATTTTTGTGAATTACCACAATGAGTACAAGATGAAAATCTTGGACAAAATGTGTGTTTTTTCAACAATACTCAAAATAGCAGTAGCAACAATCTTATGATGCAGGGTTGCTTTCTGACCCCAAATTAAAAATCTAGCCCTGAGAGTCTCAGCTTGTATCTACCTGGCTGTCAGTTCCAGATGGGAGACTAACTGGCATTCCTCTGAGTTAAAAACTCCCAGGTCTAACAGCACTGAAGTAAAGTTGGATTGCATTCTACTGCAGTCCCCACAAGCTTAACTTGCTACCTGAGTTCAATTCAAAGCTTTTGTCTCCGTTGATGAGTTGATGTATAACACACAAGCTTGTTCATTTATAGAATGTGGCTTCCACAAGCCTAGTACAATGAAAAGACAGAACAAAAATGAGAAATCATGAACACGACAGTGCATTTTATTACCGTCATGATGAAATTAATATGAAACTCATCAACTCTCTTGGACCCTGTCATCCTAAAATGGTGTTCAATATTTGTCTTGCTTTATACTTTTGCAGAAATGGCTTATGCCATCATTGTGAACACTCATCACCCCAAAATGAGACAAGAGATTCAGGATAGTATGAACGATGTCACAGCATCAGAAATAGAGGCAAACTACATCCTCCAGGTAATTTCTATTCTGTTGGAGATGTACTAATGCTACTTTTTTAGGCATCCCAAAATACCTCAGCCAGGTGGGGCGAGTGCTCAATCCAATGAAGGGCAAGGTGCTGCTGTTGGTCAGGGAGGTTCCAAGAACTGTCAGTTACAGTCACAGTCTATACACAGTCTAGGGACTTGGCTACAGTCAGTCAGCTACTTGGGGTGGTCATAGACAGATCCAACTACGGACTAGGGAGTGGTCAGGGGTCAGTCCTATAGGACCAGCACCAGTAGTCAGGGGAATCTCAAAGGGGCAGTCAGGGAGTTGTAAAGTCAAAGGTCATTGGTCTGCTCAGTCATGACCAAGAACCGTTTAACCAGTTGGTTCTGGAGAGAATACAGTCCTGGGGGCCCATGCATTGATTAATCAGGAAGGTACAAAGAGCTCCTTGCCACAGGGGTTTGGTATAGTCAATGGGTGCAATTGGGTGCAATGCAGAGGCATGTATAGAGATGGGATCAAGAATTGTGATGGGTTGGGGAGGTGAGTCAAGGTGCGAGGAGGGTACACAGAACAGCATTGGAGGGCATGGCAGGTTACAGGACAAGAGAGTACTTGCCAATGACCACCACTATGACCTCCACATGGAGAGCATAGAGGATCAAGGTAGACATCAGTAAGATGTAGTGTCAGGGGTCATGGGGCAAGGAGGAACATTGGAGGTAAAGTTCAATGTAGTGGGTCTTACATGAGGGGAATGGATGGAAATGGGCTGTTGGGGCAGTGTAAGGTGAAAGGGAAAATGAGGGTTCTTGAGGGATGGGGGCGGGGGATCTGATGAGTAGCAGGAACCCCGTGTTGATGGTGTACAGTGAGATCTGTGCTACCTGCCATTATCTGCTGTTCACTAGACGCTAACTCAACTGGAAAATGACTGAGACAATGCCCAGGGTGGGCAGAGTCAGTATCAGTTTGATAGATGATTCACAGTTGCTGGATGCTGAGACATTTAAGGGACATATATATGATGTGTGCACATGCAAACTGCAGCTACATTTAATTTGAAACCATTTAATTGCCCTTTTGCAATGCATGCAGAATAAAGTTACTCAGGGTTCAAATGCTGGTAAAAGATAACTTGTACCTTGTCATTAGTGTTTGCAAATAGAATGTTGGCATCTCAATTATGCTCAAGTTAGCGGCAATAACTTTATAAAAGTGAATGCTGGCCAGTATGGTCTTGGTCATCCTACTGGCATTTAGATTCATAGAGTCATGCAGCACAGAAACAGACCCCACGGTCCAACCAGTCCGTGCTGAACATAATCCCAAACTAAACTAGTCCTACCTGCCTGCTGCTGGCCCATATCCTTCCAAACCTTTCCTATTCATGTAACTGTCCAAATATCTTTTAAATTTGTATTTGTACCCACATCTACCACTTCCTCAGGATGTTCATTCCACACGCAAACCACCCTCTGTGTAAATAATTTGCCTCTGATGTCTTTTCTAAATCTCTCTCCTCTCATCTTAAAAATGTGCCCCCCAGACTTGAAAACCCCCATCTTAGGAAAAAGACAACTACCATTAACTCTATCTACACCCCTCATTATTTTATAAACTTCTATCAAGTCGCCTCTCAACCTCCTACACTCCAGTGAAAAAAGTCCCAGCCTATCCAGGACAACAAGGTGCAGGGCTGGATGAACACAGCAGGCCAAGCAGCATCATAGGAGCAGAGAGGCTGATGTTTCGGGCCTAGACCCTTCATCAGAAAAGGGGGAGGGGAAGGGGGTTTTGAAATAAATAGGGAGAGAGTGGGAGGCGGATAGAAGAGGGATAGAGGAGAGGATAGGTGGAGAGGAAACAAACAGGTTGAAGAGGCGGGGATGGAGTCAGTAAAGGTGAGTGTAGGTAGGGAGTTAGGAAGGGGATAGGTCAGTCCAGGGAGGACGGACAGGTCAAGGGGGCGGGATGAGGTTGGTCGGTAGGAGATGGAGGTGCGGCTTGAGGTGGGAGGAGGGGATAGGTGGGAGGAAGAACAGGTTAGGGAGGCAGGGACGAGCTGGACTGGTTTTGGGATGCGGTAGGGGGAGGGGAGATTTTGAAACTTGTGAAATCCACATTGATACCATTGGGCTGCAGGGTTCCCAAGCGGAATATGAGTTGCTGTTCCTGCAACCTTCGGGTGGCAACGTTGTGGCACTGCAGGAGGCCCAGGATGGACATGTCGTCTGAGGAATGGGAGGGGGAGTTGAAATGGTTCGCGACTGGGAGGTGCAGTTGTCCTGTTTGTTTCCTCTCCACCTATCCTCTCCTCTATCCCTCTTCTATCCACCTCCCACTCTCTCCCTATTTATTTCAAAACCCCCTTCCCCTCCCCCTTTTCTGATGAAGGGTCTAGGCCCGAAACGTCAGCCTCTCTGCTCCTATGATGCTGCTTGGCCTGCTGTGTTCATCCAGCCCTGCACCTTGTTGTCTCGGAGTCTCCAGCATCTGCAGTTCCTACTATCTCTGATTCAATTTACACTAATGGCATGGTTTGTGGAATACTGCAGCTTGATTACCAGCACATCACTCCCGTCAGAATTGTAATACAGCGCAGTAATTTGATTTCAACAATACACATTCCTCAATGCAACAGAACATGTTACAGATAATTGACAGCCTTTCATTTCTAGCAGAGCACAAGTAGCTTAGGCACTTTGGGAACTTAATTGGAGAATCCTATTCCCCTCCAGAATCCTTCTAAAATCTGCCACTTTGGTCAAGCTTTCTCTTGACCATCTGAATTTCATTCTTCCTGGAGGCATCTTGACAGATACATGATTAGGCAGGGAATAGAAGGATACGGACGATGTAGAGATAAAAAGTTTATAGTTTATAAAGGTATCGTGTGTCAGTGCAGGTTTGCTGGGCCGAAGGGCCTGTTCCTGTGCTTTGATTCAGAGAGTTAGATAATACAGATGATTTAGAGTCTGCCTTGGACAAAGGATAAGTGCATGGAGAAGACTGGCTGACTGATAGCATGAGGGTCAGTGCTAGCCCTGAACCTATTCAACGTGTATGCAAATTACCTGCTAGCAACCAGGTCTCATAAGATCACCTATGCTAGTGATAACTACTGTGTCTTTAAAGTGCCTTTAATATAATGAAACATTCACAAAGGCATTATAGAAAAAAATGACACTAGGCTACTGAATTAGATACTGGAGAAATGACCAAAAACTTGGATAAAAGGATAGGTTTTTAGGACCATAAGACATAGAAGCAGAAGTAGGCCATTCAGCCCATCAAGTCTGTGCCATCATTCAATGAGACCATGGCTGCCCCAACAATTCTCAAATCGACTTTCCTGCCCTATTCCCATAACCCTTGATTCCCTTACTGATTAAAAATCTGACTATCTCAGCGCTGAATATACTTAACAACCCAACCTCTACACCTGCTGCACTGATTCATAACCACCTGAAAGAAGAAATTTCATCTCGTCTTTGTCTTAAATGTGCAATCCGTCACTCAGATTATGCCTACTGGACCAAAACATTCCCACAAGGGTAACAACCAGTCCACATCTAACCTGCCAAATCCCCTAAGAATCTTATGTTTCAATAAGGTCACCTCTCATTCTTCTAAATTCCCACAGTACACAGTACAATTCCCCAAACTACCAAACCACTCCCGATTAGAAAACCCTCCATACCCATGGTTAACCGAGTGAACATTCTGGAGAGCTCCAATGCCAGTTTATCTTTCCTTTGTTAAGGGGATCAAAATTGTTCTCAGGATTCTAAGTGTGGTCTAACTAGTGCCTGTATAATTTTGGATAGACTTCTCTCTTTTTATTTTCAATCTTTCTAAAATAAAAGCTAACAATCCACTTGCCTTTCCTATTAGCCACTGAACTTGCGACGCCAGACCTTTGTAGTTTATGCACAAGGACTCCCAAATCCCTCTGTGCTACAGCTTTCTCCATTTAAATAATATCCAGCTTCTCTATTCTTCCTACCAAAATGTATATCCTCACACTATACTCCATCTGTCAAGTTTTTGCACTAAACTGGTCTGTATCCCTCTGCAAATTCTTTCTACCATCCTTACCAGTTGCCTTCCTACTTAATTGTACTGCCTTCAAACCTAGTGATAGTACATTAACTTTCCTCATCCAAGTCATAAGTATATATTGCAAATAAATGTGGCACCAGCACTAATCCCTGTGGTATACCACTAATTACAGATTGCCACCCTGAAAATGTTCCCTTTTATCCAAACTCTGTTTTCGATTAGTTAGTCAATCCTCTATCCAGGCTTATATATTACCCCCAATACCAGGGTCACTTATCTTACAGCGGAATGTTTTAAAGGTGAAAACTGAGGTGGGGAAGTAGAGAGGTTGAGAGAAGGAATTTGAGACCCTAGGCCCTGATGTCTCCACCACCAGTAATTAAAATTGTGGGCACTCAAAAGGCCAGGATTAAAGGACATTTGAAGGTTATAAGGCCGGAGGAGATTGCAGAGATGCGAAGGAGCCAGGCCATTGAAGGATTTGAATATAAAGATGAAACTTTTAAAATAGGGATGCTGTTTAAACAAAATCTAATGTAGGTCACAGGGATGACGGGTGAAGTACATATGTTGAATTAGGTCATAGTTGGCAGCGTTTCGGATAACTTCAAGTTTACACAGTGTAGAATGTGGGTGACCAGCATATTTGAATAGGCAGGTTTAGAGGTAAAAGAGGCAGTAACAATGTTATAGCAGCAGAAACAATGAGGCACAGGTGGAGGTAGGCAGTTCTGAAGAAGAGTCATACCAGACTCGAAACATTACACTTTCTCTCTCCACAGATGTTGCCAGACCTGCTGAGTTTCTCCAGCATTCTCATTGTTAGTTTCATATTTTCAGCATCTGCAATATTTTGCCTTTATTGGAGGCAGGCAATGTTATAGAAGTTAAAACAGGTGGTTTTACTGTGATGGTGCAGATAAGTGGTTGAATGCTTAATTCAGTCAAATATGACACCAAGGCTACAAACTATCTGGTTCTGCCTCAGGTGATCACCAGGGAGAGGATACTCAAGAGACCAGGATTAGGTAATGAACACTGATGGGGAACTGCAGGTTGTGTCAGGGACTGAAGACAATGATTTCATTTCCCACAAATTAATTGGATGAAATTTCTGTTTATCCCAAAACCTGATGACAGGAATTCAAATACTCTTGGAAAGCTGTGCATTAATTTGAAGAGGAAAATGAAGATGGAAAATGGGGAGTCTGTAGTGCTCACTTTCAAGGATGGAGGAATCAAGGGTCCTTTACTTTGATGAAAGGGCTCAAGAAGGCAAATTGGAAGGAGGGAGCAACAGAATCTGAGGACAGAGAATCTTTAACAATATGAGCTGTCATGAGAAGTTAGTTGGTCAGTAGTGTATATCTAAATCAGCTGGAATTGAGCCTCACGGACAACTTGAGTTCAGAGGAGGCATGAGGAACAATAGGAGAGAAACTAAAAAGGAATCAAGCTCAATCAGGAACCAATCTCAAAGGAGGTAACTCAGTGAATTCAGAAAAGAGAGACAAATGACAAATGCAGTTGATCAGATGGTAACAAAGAAATCCATGAGCACCTCTTACTGGCTGTTGAGGTGAGAGTGGAGGAAACAGGGAGAAGGGTTCAAGATGACAGCTTGCAGTAGAGGGTGGCATTGTGGCTCTGTGCTTAGCACTGCTGCCTCACAGTGCTAGGGATCGAGGTTCAATTCCAGCCTTAGGTGACAGTCTGTGTGTTTACATGTTTTCCCTGTGCCCTTGCTTCAGTTTCCACACAAAGTCCAAAGGTGTGCAGGTGGCCATGCTAAATTGTCTGTAGCATCCAGGGATGTACAAGTTAGGTGGATTAGCCATGAGAAATACAGGGAAAGGATAGGGGTCCAGATGAGGTGTTCTTTGGAGGTTTAGTGCAGACTTGATGGACCATTGGCCTCTTTCTGCACTGCAGAGATTCTATGATTCTAAAATAAGCAGGGGGTACTTTTACATGAATCTGGAACAGTCCACAGTTTTCAGTGATGAGAAAAGAGCTGAATGAATGGAAGCAAGAGGACTGCCTCTCTAACCAACGAGGTGAGAACGGAAGTACTTGAGGAAGTCAGCAGCAGAACAGCTGTTCCTCCAAAGTGGAGATTGTGTATCAAAAGAATCCAGTACCATAGCAAGCCAGGAAAGTGAGTGGCATAGCTCCATTGGGTGCCAAGCCCCACATTGTGACTTTCCCAGCATGGTACTCCTCAGAACAACACAACTTACAATTCCACTCATTCTCTACGAGCAAACATGCTCATCTTCACCCTCAAACTATTATCCTCTTGCACTCATATCTAACAGTCACCCTCCAGAAGCATTAAACAGGGACAAGTGACCCCACACTCAACACATCAGACCTAAGCACTGAAGTCCTGTCACAACCAGTTGTGAATGGTAGTGGACAATTAAACAATTAATAGGAGGAGAAAGCTCCACAAAATTTCCATGATGACTATAAAGCAGAGCACATCAGTGCAAAAGACAAGGCTGAAGCATATGCAAGCACTGTCAGTTTCATCATAACTGCTGAATGCATGATCTATTTCAACCTCCAACGAGCATCCACACAGCTCCCTCTAATCTGTGATCTGCACATGCCAGTCGCCATGCAGACACCATTACCAGCACTGCCTTCTGGTTTGGGAAATTGTTGCTGTGCACAGAGTTCACCTCAAAGGAGAATATAGCATACAGATTTAATCATCATGCAAGCTACACGGTGACATACTTGGCCTCATCAAGATTAAATCAAGTAGTCACTATTTGTCCACTTAAGGGCAATGGGGCAGGAAGGCAGACCACAGAACTTTCCACGCTAACTGGGGTAGAGACAGAAAGGCAGCCGCACCACCCCCACACCCCTGCCCACAACTCTCTCTCCCTAGAAAGGACATGAGATTCCAACCTATAGCACTGTGATGAAACACAACTGAGCTGTGAGAAAAATGTGCTCCAAGAGAAAAACATCAAATTATTCAGGTACAGAGATCTAATGGGTATTGGAGAAATCTGAATAATTTTTACTCTGACCTTACAATAGTTGAAAGTATCAGTGTAAGTACTTGTTTACCTGAAAACTTATACCTGTTTCTATGTAAATGTATTTTAGAAATAAATTAACTTTATAGTCTCATCCCAGCAATATGATTTGACAGTGTGGTGTTTTCCAATTTGTTGACGAGAATTACAGCATATGAATGGAAAACTACAAGGAATTGTGATGCTCATAATTCAGTGAAAAGGTAATGGAGGAATGTTACTCCATCGATAAAGTTCTATGTTTTAGACTGTAGGAGATATTGGTATCTATAAAACATTCCTTTACGATGAGCGTGTAGCTGAGTGATACTAAACCATTCACTCCATTTTTTTAACTCATTCATACAATGTGTAACATCAATGGGACAGTCAGCAATTATTGGCTATATCTAGTTTCCCAAAAGACAGTGAGAAGATGGTGGTGAGCTAACTTTCTGAATATAGCTCAGTGCCTTACTTGGTTATTACAGAAGGCAGTTAAGAGTCAACTCTTTTTAGTAAATTTAGAATCATAGGTTGGTCAGACCAGATAAGGAGAGCAGATAATGATAAAGTATATCAGTGAACGAACTGGGTTTGTACAGCAATCCATTAGTTGCAATGGGAACCATTACTGACACTAACTTTTAGTTCCAGACTTTTTTTAGAAATTAATAAAATTTAAGTTTTTTTTAACCCACAATGGCATATCTTGAACTCACATTACTGAATCACTAGTCCAGACCTCTGGATTACTAGTCCTGTAATGTACCCATTATTATAGCATGTACAATGAAAATTTGACTGTACAAATATATGCCTTAGACTGTAAACCATGTGTGCCTGCATATGGATAGTAGGATTAGGGTTAACCTAAACTTTTGACTTGAGAAAAAACAGGGAGCATCTTATTTCATAGACAACCATATTCCTAGCACCTCGGTTTTGTGTTCCATTATTAATCTCACTTTCAGCTGTTTCATTGCTGACAGCTGAGGTTTCTCAGCTTGGAATTAGCACTTGTTGTTATTCACCTTATGGCATTGAACAAATATAGGAACGTTAGAGATTTTAATGTCCACTTGAAGAAACTAGCCTGATAGACTGAAGGACCTTTTTACTATGAATTCTTATGAAGAGTAACCAATTGTCCCTGTGTATAATTTCCTTTAAATTCACAGAAATGTCAAACTGCCAGTGTTGTTGATTATCAGTACAATGGCATATATTGGTGCAACTCTTCAAGTCATACTATCAGCTTAGCTTAGTTGGTAACAATCTCACATACAGAAAAATAATGGGTCAAGAATTTGATCAAATTGTCACCGCTGAGATAACGTTGAAATTGTTCACATAAATGATTAAATAAAGGCTCCAAGGTAGAAGCAGCTATCAAAGCCACCAACAGAATATTAGAATAAAACATCGGGGTTCTCTAGATTTGGTCCCTGTCATTCTGACAGCTGGTGAGTTGGATTTGTCCTAACTCGCCATGTTAACACTTGCTGCAGGTTCTCACCTCTGTATGCATTCTGTAAGGTTCCACTGCCGCTCTGCCTTGACTTGGCCATTGGAGATCACATTGTAACCGGCTCCTGGTCGCTGGACGATCTGAATGTTATTGCCCACCACGTGGAAGTGTGATCGCTGTAAACTGAGCAGAAGCTCCAAGGGGAGCACCGCAATCTCACAGCTCATGGAGGTCCCGGGCAGAAAATTAGGAGGGTCCCTCACTGCTAGGGGTTGGGGGCAGTCCGCAGACATGTCCACACCCAGAAAGAAACACAGGATCTCCACGGGCCACACAAAAGATCAATGTTGTGGAAAAAAAAACTAATGCCTGGCGATATTAGCTGATAAAACTGGAGTATGATCAAAATGAGCTTTTATCCTGCTCCTTAAACGCACTGTAGAGGCGAGGAGTGCAAATGAGTCATGACGCCCAAGTTAAACACCCAACGCCCGGACGCACCTTTGAACAGAGCTGCCTGTAGAACCAGACCAAGCGGTTTCTGGCTGGCTGACAGGCAGTCAGGATGTTTTCTGAACTCGAGATATTGCAGCTGCATTTGCTTGAGGGAAGGCCAAGAAGAAATGTTGCACAACTTTCCCCCAGTTGCAGTCCAGGATTTGTTACATTCGACTGCCTACTGATGAATCTTACTGCAGCAATAAATTGCAATGATTAGTTAATTATCATGAGGAAAATGAACCGAATTCGCTATAAAATTAACACGTCATTCTCCCACAATGAGTGCCATGTATCTGTCACATCGAGTGGGAAGTTAGATGGAAAGCAACTGTTAGTAAATCGATGTTCAACGATCCAGTCACTTTGGCAATCAGTGAAAGTAACAATTGTTGCAAGTCATTTTGAAAAAGTCCCGTCTGACCGATTCGCACATACACTTGAACACATTCCTGATATTTAGTCAGTTATTTACAGATAATGCCTTATCTCATTACAAGTCCACAAGTGCAAAAGCCAGGCTGCATTTGAACTTTATGATGAGGCATTGAGCTTCATAGAAACCTATTGATCAGCATTTTGAAAATATAAAAAACCGAAAGAACTGCGGATGCTGTAAATCTGGAACAAAAACAGAAGTTGCTGGAAAAGCTCAGCAGGTCTGGCAGCATTTGTAAAGAAAAAAATCAGAGTTAATATTTCAGGTCTGGTGGCTCTTCCTCAGAACTGAAAGTGAAAATATACTCCACTGTATAAAATGATTTAACAAATCTGCTGTGGCAATGCACATATTTACCTTGGAAATTTTATAACAATGAGGTGGGAACACGGCAGGTCTTTCTCTAAATTCATTCACAGGATGTGGATATCGCGAGGAAGGTCATTCCTAATTGCCCTCCTCAGCCAGCAAGAAGATGTTGTCTGCAAAATCTAGGTCCGTCAACTGGTGGTGTTGCCATGGGATGTCAAAGTCTGAATGCACCCTGGTCTCCCTCATAATGAAATCAAAAGCCTTGAGGATAAGGAATGGGAAAAGTTTGCACCCTTGTGTACTCCTGTGATGATGTTGAGGGAGTGTCTGATGCCCATGCTGGTTGGGACATAGCAACTGAATGTGGCAGTGTAAGACAGTGAAGATATTAATATGGGATGCCATTGTGATGTACCAGAGAGACTGCTGATGGATGCTATTGAAAGCCCTTTCGAAATCAATGAAGTTGATAACAAGAGTTGCTAAAAAATTTCACATGTTCCAAGACATGACCAGCAGCCTTGACAGTAGCACTGCTAAGGTTGGTCAACACATCAGCCGTGTGAAGACCAAGGCAATGATGACTGGACAGCAACAAGGCTCCTCATCTCCATTGGGCAACAGGTTGAGCAGCAAAAGCATGACATAAGATGGATGTCTTTCACCTGTGGTACCAAAGATCCTGTGCATTACATGGAGAGGTATTATTACCACAGGAAGTGGCACTGAGGACCAATCAGAGATGCCTAATGGGTCATTATGACTGAGAAATAATTGAGACTGACAGGCATCGAATTTTGCATCCCACATATACACTTTGGCAGAATGGCAGTAGAATGGACAACAGCAGTTTAAATTGGGAGATTGAGCTGGCCAAAGAAGATCCAGCAAAATACATTTAACTAAGATGTTCAAGACTGGAATATTATGTGAGCTGAAGTGAAAGAGGTTGCAATGGGTTGGGAGTGGTGACAGAGTTTTGTTGCCCATTGTCCTGTATGGGACCAGAAGAACTAAGTCTCAGTCTAAGTCTAATTGTCCTCAAGCGGAGGTGCTGAGCCATCTTCTTCAACCAATGCAGACTGTATGGTGTATGTACACCCACAGTGTTTTTAGGAAGGAGGTTCTATGATTTTAATCTAGGATTAATGAAAAAATGGTGATATATTTGCAAGTCAGGGTATTATGTAACTTGCAATGGATCTTGCAATGTTTAAATACATTTGCTGATGTCCTTCTAGGTGTCAGAACTGGCAGGGTTGGGAGGTGGTGTTGAAGAAGTCTTGCCAGTTTAGTTGCCCTGCATCTTGGAATGCACCTTGGTGTACCGGTGGTGAAAGGAGTGAATGTTGAACGTGATAGATGGGATGCCAATCAAGCAAGTTGTTTTGTCCTGCATGGTACAAGACTTCTTGAGTGTTGTTGTAGTTGCAGTCGTCAGGACAAGTGCAGAGTATCACATCGCACTCCTGAGTTGTGCTTTGTAGATGATGTACAGGCTTAGGTAAGCTACTTGCAGTAAAATTCCTAGCCTCTGACCTGCACCTACGGCCACAGTATTTATATGGCTAGCCTAGTTAAGTTCCAAGGAACAATAACTTTTCAACATTTCAGTTGATCCTAGAAGTTTTGGGAGAGTAGTCTAAAGTCTGTCAGTGTGTGGATGAGCAGCATTATTCGGGGTTTAGGATTAATGGGCCGTGTTTGCAGAACAAGGTCCAGGAGAATTAGAAATGAGATAGTTCAGGGATCAGATATTGAGCCCATCATCCAGAGTCATAGCATCAAGTTTCTTTTATATGCTGACACTGGTTAACTATCACTTCGCTCAATTTACAACTGCCACAGTTTGCGATGCCAAATTGGAGCTAAGAACATAATGACATTCAAGGATCGAAGTGGGAGTAAGATCCTCAAACTTGCTCCCCATTCAACACAAAATGGCTCATACCTCGAACTCAACTCCCATTTCTGGCCACTCCCTTATCCATTGACACCCCCTTCAAGATAAACATGTATCAACAGCAGCCTTAAATATACTCAAAAATTCAAAATCCACTGTTCCCTGGGGTAGAGAATTCCAAAGGTTCACAACTGTTTAAGTGAAGAAATATCTCCTCCTTTCAGGCTAAAATTGTTGATCCCTTCTTATGAGACTGTAACTCTGGACTTTCCAATAAGGAGAAACAGTTAAACTCTGACCTCCTTACAAACTGCCCCCTACGCGCACAACCGACAGACACAGGCAGGAAAAGAAAAATCGGTTCTATGGACAGAGGGGAAAATTGGAAAGCAATCCAATGGTCCCTGTCCTTAAGGTTCACTGAGACGATCCTTTTGGCTTGTCAGAACATATTGCTGCTTGATCTTCCTTCTCTGGGTATTTTCACTCTTTGCAAGAGGCATAGGATGTTTGGTTTACACGTATAAAATCTCTGACATACTGGTTATAAAACACCACAGCTTACAGCAACTGCTAAAAGTAAATATTTGGGCTTTCTTCAGCCTTAAATCGAGTTTTACTCCAGAGAAAATGGATAGCTCCTTTCCTTTCAGAAATCCAACGGCTTCTCCCTAAACATGCACACTTACAAGCTGTTCAGTCACCTGGGAGCCAAGCTAGGGGTATTGTCAAGAAGAAGGCTTTCATCAGTGATAACTGGTCACCAGACCAATCAGCTACTAATTGCAGGCTGAAGCTCCATTCATTCACATCCCTTGGCTCCAGCTTGTCTGTATTAGGGATCCCCCACTCTTTGAACAAAGAGCCGTGTAAATAGCACTTACAATGAGCGTATGTAACTTACTTTTAAAAAGTGCAGCAATCCTTGAAAAATCCTTGGCATTTAAAACTGCTCTCTTCCCATTTCGGAACACAATCAAAATACAGAAACATAAAAAGGATACAGTCATTACTATACAGGAATCTTTCACTCTATCTGACTGTGTTACACTTGACGTAGGAGAGGAATAAAATAGACAACATCAGTTCCTTATCACTGTGCTTCTGTCCAATTGTATGAAGAGTACTTCTTGCAGCAATGTGGTATTTTTCCGTTTCTCAAAGCAGCTTTGTCACTGTCTTGCTGAATGAAATTACGATTTAGGGCAATTAGTTTAAAATTAAAGCAAAGTTATAAAAATATCCAAGTTCATTCTCTTCCAGAAGGTGGCAGCTTTCCATTATCCAGCCAAACCTAATATGTAGGATATGGTACAATATGGTGCATTCTAATAAAAATGACATTAGAAAGGAGAGGAAGAAAAGCTGGATAAGAACCTTAAAAATGTAATGTTAATTATACACCATAAGAAATTACTGCTTTAACCTGCCATGCCATACCTAACAGATCTTATTTTTATGAAAATGTTCTGAAAGGTAAACAATTGCTCATAAGTAGTACAAAACGTGTAGATTTAATACATATCACAAATTGTTTGATACTTGTCAAATGGATCTGGGCCAAGGAAATAGTTGCTTGTATTTGTTTTTGTTTAATTTTGATAACATCCTTGGAAACCTTTGACCTCACAGGGTATGCACTGATTAAAATAAATACCATTCTGATTACTAGGACTTTTAGTGCTGAATTTCTGTCAGAAATGGGCCCACAACGCTATCTTGCATTTCAATAACTCATTTGAAATCAATTAAATTCTTTTTAGTGGCCAGCTTTTCAGCTTTTCTACACTGTTGGTTTTACTGATCTTTGGATGTACCAAACCATGTAGCAAAATGTGAAATAACTCTACAGAGGCTGGTATCCTGTCACCAATTCACCCTTTATTTACACTTGACACTGTAGTACTTGACACTGGCCCAGCTTCCTCAGAGCCAGCTCTCAGAGTGAACAGAACCTCTGACACCCCTGTTTATATCCGTCTGTCAGGGCTCCCTGATTGGACCAGGTTTACAGTCCCATTAGGGATCCCATATGCTATGAGGCTCATCTGGCTAACCTCGTTACAATCACTACAGAATGCACCTTCCTTTTTTCTGTCTTCCTGAAAGTTAGGAAGAAATTTTAACCACACTGTATGGATGAAATGGGAAGTAAAAATGTGACAAAATTTCAAATCTAAATCCAATCCATCTTGAGCCCGCCCACTTCTGGTGTCAAAAAAGGGCAGATGGTGGGCGGAGGAACAAATTTTATTATTATTTCACAGCATTTGGATGTGATTGCCGAAGCCATCATTTGTTGCCCATCCCTTATTCCCCTT